GGCCGGGAAGAGGGGACCACGAACCCCGCCCGGCCGGTCCCTCCTTCCCCCTGACGCCTCGCACCCTGTAGTAGGTCTGGGTCCCGGCCACCGGCTTCTCCAGGCCGCCCAGCATGGCCCGCCGCCGGCGCTCGTCAATGCTCAGGCTCCAGTGGCGATTCGGGCGCCGGACCTCGGCGGGCTCGGCCACCTGCAGGACAGGACACGGGTCGGCGCGAGCCACCGGGGGAGGGTTGGGGGGCGGCTCTGCGCAAACTCCACGCAGTCTTACTTTGCACAGTGGCTGGGCCACACACGAGGCAAGAGGCTCGGGTACACCCTCCCCCCCAAAGTCTGAACTAGTGCCTCCCCCACGCCCATCTGCTCCCCTGCTGGTGGGCGGCGGCTTCTACCGCTGGGGCTTGACTGACCGGTGCTCACATTCCTTTGGGGGACTGAGGGGCAGGGCAGGGCAAGCACCTCCCCAGGCTCCTCTAAAATGAGCTCTGGAGCCGCGAGAAGGAAAGTACGGGCCACGGGCCGGTCAGGCGGTGCGGAGGAGACCGACCGTTAGCGCCTCCGGAGGCTGGGCGGCCGCGGGAGAGGTCCAGGAGGCCGGCCCTGCGCACAGGCGTCCTAAGGGGCCGCACGGGATGCTGGAAATCGGGGATGAGAATGCCCACCCTCTCTCCCCTCATTCTGCACCAACCAGAGAGCCTGCCCGGCTCCTTTCCCACCCCCACCCCCACGGGAGGGGCTGGGCGGGCAGCCACAGTCAGCCGGCTCAGAAGAAAGATGAGGCTTTGGGCTCCTGCAAGGATGGGCAGCCTTGGAAGCCCTAGGGAGCAGTCGGGGGAGCTGGAATGGGCTCTGTGGAAGCTAGGAAAGGGATCTTTCTGGCAGTAAGTGGCCTGCTGAAGAGAAAGGCCCAAGGACTCTGACAGCTGACCAAGCACCCAAGCACTTGTGGGCGCAGGACTTTCCATCGGCCACGCGGGCCTCACTCTCAAGCACAGGACAAGAGCCGAATCCCCAGAAAGAATGCAATCCAACTTGGACTCGTTCCTTCTATTTCTTTACCACGGTGTCTGTCAGTGTGTAGTGTGTGGTGGGCGTGTTGCTGTGATACTGGATGTTATGGGTTTTTTCAAACACCAGCAGGGTCATCAAGGTGAACAAGTCCCAGTGGAGCTTCCAGACCCAGACAGACTATGATGAAGGGCTGGCCTTCCCACTTCTGAGGGCTAGCAGATGAGAACCTTCAGACAACAGTGGAAACTGTCAGCGCCGGAAGGAAAGGCATGCAGCCCATGAGCAGCCTCCTCAAATGCCTCCTTCCGTGTGGAAAGAGTGCGGATCAGGGTTCAAGGAGGGCTTAGGGACCACCTGGGATTTGCAGGTGACACAACTTTCCTTTCTAAAAGCCAGGAAGGCCTGAAGTTCTTGCTCGGGCAGATCAAGGACCGCAGCCTTCAGTGTGAATTACAACTTGGTGGAAACAAGACCCAAATCTCACCACCAGGCAACAGACATCAAGACAACTGGAGGAAAGATTGAAGGTGTCAAGGATTTCATCTGGGACCCATAATCGATGCTCATGGAAGCAGGAGTCGAGTTCAAACGGCTCACTGGATTGGGTAAAAATCTGTGGCACAGGGTCTCTTTCGAGTGCTGCAAAGCCAGGATGGTGGGCTGAGGACTAAGGTGGGCCTGACCCAAGCCAATCACCTCCCATGCATGTGAAAGTTAGACACTGAATACAGAAGACCGAAGAATTTCAACTATGGTGTTGTTGAAGAGTATCGAAAGTGTCATGGATTGCCGAAAGAACAGCTGCAAAAATCAATTAATCATGGGAACTTGGGATGCCGTAAATGAAATGGGCACATAAAGATTGTTCTAGGCATTAATGAGCTGAAATGGATGGGTCAGAGAATCACGGTTTAGGCTCATCATCACAAAGGAACTTTCAAGATCTGTTTTGAAGTCTAGTGCTGTCTGTGATGAGATTATATCTATCCATCTTTAAGGAAATTCAATCAATACAACTATTGTTCAAATTTATACACCAACCACTAAACCTAGTGATGCAGAAACTAAAGAATTCTACCAATGTCTTCAGTCTGAACTTGATCAAATGTACAATCAAGACACATTGATAATTATTGGTGATTGGGATGCAGAAGTCGGAAGCAAAGAAAAAGGAGCAGTAGTTGGAAAATAACGTCTTGGTGATAGAAACAAAGCTTGCACGAGAGAATTTTGCAAAACCAACAACTTGTTCACAGCAAATACCCTTTTCAACAATACGTGGACTTCTCCAGACTCTATACACAGGAGTCTATAAATTAATTAGTAACATAAGGACAGAAAAATGACATGGACATCAGGAAACATCCTTCTAATTAGCCTGGGTGAGAGAGAAAATGAAGACTGGTAGTTCCATAATCTGGTGTCAACTTGCGAAGGGGTGGAGTCTAGCTTGTCAGTCAGATTGCAGCTTGATTACTTCATTTGGAGGCACCATGGAGACAGCTCACTAGAGGCTGACAAGATACATGGAGCTATGGCTAAAGTGGTGGAGCTGGAGGAGCCATGTGGAGTCCCATGCCAGTGTTGAGATGCTTCCACTGCCTCTGGATTCCCAAGACGTCCCACCCACTGGCCTGTGATCTTCCTGCATTTGGTGTCATTGTGTGTGTTGTGTGTGTCTGAAGAGGAGTTTATAGGTTGTTATCGGACATTTGGGCTAATATCGGACTTATGGACTTGATCTGGACTGGGCTGGGATGTTTTCTCAATATCCAATTGCTTTTGTATATAAAGCTGTTTCTTATATACACCATGAGTGTCTATGGATTTGTTTCTCTAGTCAACCCGGACTAACACAAAGACTGAAAAGCCAATGTGTTTAGAATGAATGACAATGAGTGTAGCTACATCAAAACACTGGCGGGTAGCCAAGCTGTCCTCGCAAGACAAACTAAAACAAGTAGGAAAGAGTAAGCAAATCACTCAAGAACCTGGAAAATCAACAACAAAATAGTTTCACTGAGGTTGAAAGATGGGACTCAGAAAAAGGAACAAATGGTAGACCATGATTACAACGGTTTCCTTGGAAAACCAATACTGTGTGGTCACTCTGTCCCGGCGCTCTCACCCACGCTACTCATATTCAACATTATAATTGTCGCCAATAATTCATATTTACTGCCATGGAGTTTTCCTCTTGTATGAATTGCATGTCCATAAAGCACCTTATTCTTGTATTGAGTTTTACTTTTAATTTTTAGCTTCCTATTCCCACAGGAAGAAGCCCTAGTGGCACAGTGGTTATGTATTGATCTGCTAACAGTAAGGTCAATAGTTGGACACCCTTAGCTCCGAGGGAGAAAGACGGGGATTTCGACTCCCATAAAGAGTTACAGTTTCAGAAACTCATTGGGACAGTTCCACCCTGCCCTGTAGGGCTGCTCTGAGTCAACATGGACTAGATGGCAGTGAGTTTGGTTTCTCACAGGAATCAAGTCGATTACATCTGTTGCAAAAGACGATGGAAGCTCAGGATCATCATCAGTCGGAACAAAGTTAAGGGTCGACCATGGGACAGCTTCTTAGTTGCTCATATGTAAGTTCAAGCTGAAATGGAACGGAAATTAAGTAGGTCGACAAGAGCCCAAATATGACTTTGAGTATATGCCACCTGAATTTAGAAAGCATTTCAAGAATTGGTGTGACTACAAGTTGTGGCACGACATCAAGGATATTATATAGGAAGAAAGCAAACGGTGAGAGAAAAGAAAAATAAAGTCAAAATAGGTATCAAGCGTGAATCTGAAACTCGGTCTTCAACATAGAGAGGAGCTGAAGTGAAGGTAAAAAATTACGTAAGAATCAAAAAAGCTGAACAGAAGATTTCAAAGAGCTGATCAAGATCAAGCACTGTAAGGAAATGTGCAAAGACTTGGAGTGGAAAGAAGAACAAGTTTGTCATTTCTCAAGCAGAGGAAACGGGATGGGAGCTTCCAGCCTTGAGTTGCAGGACTGAAAGGTTCTGTGGGCAAACTATTCAATGATATAGGAAGCACCCAAAGAAAGCATAGAGAATTCTCAGACTCCAAACTCATGCCATCAAGTCAGTGCTGACCCAGGGCGACCCGCCTGTGGGCTTCTGAGACTGCAACTGTTTAGGGGAGTAGAAAGTCCAGTCTTTCTCTGGAGGTGCTGCTGGTGGTTTCAAACTGCTGACCTTGTGGATCACAGCCCCACATGTAACCACTAAACCACAAGGGCTCTCCAGAGAACTATTGTACCAAAAAGACGTGGTCGACTTTCAGCCATTACAAGAGGTAGCATATGATAAAGAACTACAGTATAGAAGGCAGAAATTCAAACTGCGCTGAAGGTATCAGAGGAACACAAGTCTCCAGGGGCTGACAGCGTACTAACCGAAATAACGGCTGCAGGGCCAGAGGCACGCACTCACTGAACCACGCCATGAAATCTGGAAGATAGCTACCTCGACAGGCAGGCTGGAAGAGATCAATACTTGTGCCCATGCCAAAGAAATGTGATCCAACAGAATGTGGGGATTATAACACGATATCCATAATATATGCATCTATGAGATGGACTGACGGACTGGTCTCAAAGATAGCAACAGTTGTGTGGCACGGGGCCAGACAATGTCTCACTCTGTTGTATGTAGGGGCACTATGAGTCAAACCAACTCAAAGGCGCCTAACAATAACATTCTTAGCATCATTTTGCTGGGCATAGAATTCAAGGTTGACAGTTAATAAGGTGGCCTGGTGGCAAAGCGGGTTAACGTATTGGGCTGCAAGACACAAGGTCAGGAGTTCCAACCCAGATTCCAAATCAGACTCTCCAGGGGGAAGATGAGGCTTTCTGCTCCAGTGAAGATTTGCAGCCTTGAAAACCCACAGAGACAGTGCCGCTCTGTTCGATAGGGTTGCTATGAGTCAGAACCAGCTGGATGGCATGAGTTTGGTTCCGTATGAGTTTTGAACATGTGGCAATTACATAATTCTGTGTCAACTTGAAGATATAAAATGGCACCCAATGGCAGTGGAAGAATCACAGGGCTCGGCAGGTCTCAGTGTGGCTCACCAGCAGGAAGGTGAAGCAGAGAGAGGGGAGGTTCTCAGGATCCTCCTTAGGAGAAGGTTACACCCACAACAAGGCACCATCAGGCTGTGACCTGATTGACAGGCTACACTCCACCCCTACACCTTGTGGTTAGCAGCCCAATGAGTAACCCACTATTCACCCTGCTTGAGATTTATTGGGCTCATGCGACAACAGTCTCTCTTTACTGTCTGCGATAACCAGTCTTTAAGATGGCACCAGTGATTCTCACTTTCAGTATTCATGCCCTCGTGTTGTCCCCTCCCACATTCACTAAGGATGGCTAGTGTGACCAAGACTGTGAGGTGGGCTCACACATGGCACCAATTTGTGTCCTTCTAGATCTGGTTGCAACACTAGCAGCAACAGTGTTACCCATTGAGTACTATAGGGATGATGGCGTGTAGCTTCCAAGACTAAATCATAGAAGATATTAGAGCCTCCTGCTTGGTCTCTCCAGATGCCATGTCAGGGGAAACTCAAGCAGTCTCATGGGGAAGTCCACATGGTAAGGAACTGAGGCCTCCTGCCAGCCACTGGGGTGAGCTCCTGTGGAAGTGACCTCTCAGCCACAGCTGAGCCTCCAGACAATGGTAGCACCAGCTGACACCACATGCAGGGAGATCCTGAACCAAAGCCACCCAGCGGACCAGTTCCCGGATTTCTGACCTATCGAAACTGAGATTGTTAAAAATTACTGATTTACCCCATTACCTTTGGGGGATTTTTTTGATGCAGCAATCAGTAACTGCCAAAACACTACATACATTTTAGAATGAGTTTTCAAGAATCATATATTTATGTTCTTTTAAAACTGGGATTGCACTGAATTATTTTGGGAGAAATTTGGCAGGTGAAAAAGTGAAATCTTTCTATTTAATAATATGGTGTACATTTCCATCCATAGCAATGCCATTGGCTGCTAGAACAACAACAAAAAAACACCGTCCAAAGAAATACCACTATTTTTGGTATTTGAATCGAAGACGGTGAGCCTTGCTTTCTTAGACACAGCATCGGGAGAGCCCAATCACTGGAAAAGGCCCTCGTGTTTAGTCACGTGGAGGGCCGGCAAAGATGAGGGATGCCCCAATGGTACAACAGCTATGGCGAGGACACAGCAGATCCCGAGGTAATGCTTCACTGTACATACGGTAGCCACAATTAACACCTGTTACACTGTGTCATCTCATCGTGTTAGGTATTAAACAAGAATAGATTTAATTCTAATGATTGCTTGGTTTCCGTTGCTAAAGTGAATGGGATTCTCTTTTCTGGTTGGCAATTTTTACGGAACAACTTCATCTTTGAGTGATGAGTTTCTGTCTTACCTTCCTCTGCTATTACTGCTCAGAGTTTTTAGGGCTGCTTTGCATGGTTATTGCAGGCAGATATTTTCTCTTTGCCGGTGGTGACCAATGAATCTTTCATTTTCAGATATACCCAATTTATTCTTCATAACTTAGGGCACAGTTTCGGCTTTTCCATGTCGTGTTTAATACTCCAAAATGTGATAAAGCATGCTTTCAGTGATGTGCGTCACAGCTGTCAAATGCACCCCCTATACCTTACAGAAATGCCCACCTGTCTTTTCCTACTTTGTCAGGGATCCAGATTCCTGTGTTTTGTATTGTATTGAAGGAAAGTAACTGTGTTTATTATTCTCAACATTGAATGGACTAATCATGTGATTCTCCTCCTGTCAGTAATGTGCTGCTGTTGTCATCAGGTGCCCTTGAGTCAGGGTTGGTTTGTAGCAACCTCTCTTCCCTTGTCTTCTCTTGTGCCATCCTTACAACTGTTGTGGGGTTGCAGCCAATCCAAGACAGGTTTGTTTGTTCGTCTCGCAGTCCACCATGTAGTCGGGATTCTTTCCCAGCACCACAATTCGTCTTGGGTCTCCCTTCTGCAATGTCCGACTCTCACATGCATAGATGATTGAAAATACTGCGGCTCGGGTCAGATGCACCTTAGTCCTCGGCGTGACAGCCCCACTCTTCAACACTTTAGGGAGATCTTGTACAGCAGATGTGTCCAATGAAATGCATCGTTTGACTTCTTGACTGCTGCTTTCATGAGCATTCATTATGGATCCAAACAAGATGAAATCCTTGACCACTTACACCTTCTCTCCTCGGCTTGTCCAGTTGCGGGGCTTTGCTTTTCTATACACAGAGCTCATCCAGACTGAAGGCTGCAGGCCTTGATCATGGACTGGAGCCTCTTATTAAGGTAGATCACTTTATTGATGACTTCCAAATGTCTTTGTCTTTGGGATGCAACTTTGTCATTTACTCATTTAATGGATTGGATGTGGCAGGGACTGTTGTCAGCACTTGGGGTTGGGTGGGGTGGCAGTTACATAATCTCTTGTCAACGTGCGAAGGGGTGGAGTCTAGCCTGTCAATCAGGTCACAGCTTGATGACCTCATTTGGAGCCTCTAAGGAGATACATAGCTGACTGGAGGCCAGATACACAGACACTCCCTGCGAGACATTCCTGCTGACAGGTCACATATAGTTTTGCTGATGGCGGCTAGAGCCCTGGAGCTGGAGGAGTCATGTGGAGACCCACGCCAGCTCTGAGATGCTTCCACCGCCACTGGATCTACAAAACTTTCCGCTCACTAGGCTGTGATCTCCCCATATTTAGCGTCATTTCATGTGTTTTGTGAGTCGAAAGTGGAATTTATAGATTAGTATTGGATATATGGGCAAACATCAGACTTATGGGCTTGATCTGGACTGGGCTGGGATGTTTTCGCTATATTCAGTTACTCGTTGATATAAAGCTCTCTCTTACACATATCTGAGTCTCCCTGGATTTGTTTCCCTAGTCCACCCGGACTAACACAGGTGGGAACCACAGAGTCAAAGTCCCTGGTCCCTGGAGGAGCGTGTGGGTGTGAGCACTGGGGGGCATCATTGCGGACTGGACGGTCAGTCTTGTAGATGCCACTGAGCTAGATTTGGTTGCCACTACTCAGGACTTTCTCATCTACGCCTGGATTAGACTGGTGAACCCTTTCTCTCTTTTATCTTCCTGCCCCAGGTGGCGAATCAGGGCTACAGCAGCTCGGCAGGAGGAGCTCCTGTGGGAAGCTGAATCAGCATCGCCCAGACCTATTCCTGTCAAGGTGACTTTCACTCACAGTGACTCTGCAGGACAGAGTCGAGCGGCCCCATGGGCTTTCCGAGGCTGTCCATCTTGATGGAAACAGATGGCCCCACCTTTCTCTCACTCACACACTCACGGCCATCGGGTCAACGCCGACTCACAGGACAGCGCAGAGCTGCCCTGGTGGGTGTGCCAGGCTGACAGTGTGGGAGCAGACAGCTGTGTCTTTCCCTGCAGAGTGGATGGTGGGCTCACCGCTCACCTTGCAGTCACCATCCCAACTCAGAACCACTGTGCCACCAGGACTGCTTCCGGAGGGGCTGTGGTTAGGTGCCGTCGAGTGGTTCCAACTCATGAGGACCCTGTGTCCAACAGAACACACCACTGCCGGTGCTGTGCCCTCTTCACAACTGCTCTTCTGTTGGAGCCCATCAGTGCAGCCCCTGTGTCCATCTGTCTTGTCGAAGAAGGTCCTCCTCTTTTCCACTGTCCCTCCGCTTGACCAAACACGACGTCCTTCTCCAGGGACTGGTCTCTGCTGACAACACATCCACAGTATGTTAGGCAAAGTTTCACCATCCTCGCTTCTGAGGAGCACTCTGGGTGTACTTCGTCCAAGACAGATTTGTTTGTCCTTTTAGCCGTCCATGGTACTTTCAATAATCTCCTCAGCACCATTCAAATGCACCGATTCCTTTGCCTTCTTTATTCAATGCCCAACTTTCACATGTATATGAGGCGATGGAAAATACCGTGGCTGGGGTCCGGCACACCTTAGTCCTTAACGTACCATCTTGGCTTCTCAACACTCGGAAGTGGTCTTGTGCAGCAGACTGACCCCAGGCACAGAGAGGCTAGTAAGTTCAAACTGCCCACTTTCTGGTTAGCAGTCGATCGCTTTAACAGCAGTGCCACCAGGGCCCTTCATCACCAGTGGGGAATCACTTACTTCTTATTTTTAATTATTTCATTTACTTCACATTTTTGCATTTCATGGTACTGGCAAATATTTTTTTACTAATCATTTTATTGGGGGCTCTCACAGATATTATGACAATCCATAAATCAATCACATCAGATGAATCCCTATAGATGCGGCCATCATCATGTTCGAAACATTTTCTTTCTACTTGAGTCCCTTGAGATCAGCTCCTCTTTATTCCCTCCTTCCCCTACCCTACACCACTTAGTCAATGATATATTATTCGTTTCTTTTTTGGGGAAAGGTTTAAGGTCACACCCAGAATTTTTATTTATTTATTTTCTAAAATCAGATAGATTATTATTTTCATATCGTACACCGTTCTTCAATGTAGCCCTTCACCCAGAGTTCTGTTATTCATCCCCCTCGAGGGGGGTTATGCATCCATCATTGCCATCAGTTTCCCCTTATGCCCCTTATCCCCTCCCTTCCTATGCCCCTGGTATTGGGCTATGTATATATATTTATAGGTAAAGCACTAAAGTAGCAGACGGACTTTGGTCATCTACTTGGGTCTTCCCTCAACACAAGAACACTTTGTTCTAATAATGTGGTACTGTGTGATACTCACCTTCCCGACCAACATGATCGCTAAAGACAAAATGGGTGCATAAGCAAATGTGGTGAAGAAGGCTTATGGTGCCCAGATATAAAAAGATACAGCATCTGGGGTCTTAAAGGCTTGATGTTAAACAAGAGGCCATCTAGCTGGGAAACAAGAAAGCCCACATGGGAGAAGCACACCAGCCTGTGTGATCACGAGGTGTCGATGGGAACAGGCATCAGAAGTTCAAAAACAATCATCACATCGACGACGACGTGAAGGAGACGGGTCAGAGTGGAGACCCAAAGACTATCTGTGGATAATTGGAAACTCTCTCACGGAAGAGACACATGGAAAGGACGAGCCATCCAGGGTGCAGTGTGGCACAGACGAAACACACACATTCCTCCAGTCCAGGGGTGTCAAACTGGGGACCTGTGGACTGCATGTGGCCCCGAGTTAATTTTTTGTGGCCCTAGTCACTATACTCTGAAATAAAATGTAATGAGGGAACTGTGTGTACGGTACTGCCTTGATCTCCCCTAAGCGCTATTTTCTTCATAACATTTTTTTCTATTTTCATTTTATTTCAGAGCATTGTGGGTCACAAAAAATTACCTCGGGGGGGCTGCATGCATCCTGCGGGCCACCAGTTTGACACCCCTGCTCTAGTTCTTTAATGCTTCCTCCCCCCCACAATCATAGCCCCAGTTTGACCTCACAAATCCTGTTAGACCAGCGTATGTACACTGGTACAGATAAGAGCTTTCAATACATGGAATCCAGGATTGATAAACCCCTCAGCAGCAGTAATTTTCATTTACTTCTGGATTGTGTGTGGTTATTGGTGGCCACGAGTTTATATGCATGCCTGTTCTTGTGTTAAGTCAGCTTTGGCACTACTACGTCAGGAGTCCTGGTTGTGGACTGGTTCCGTGCTGGACTGCTAACAGCAAGGTCAGCAGCTCAAAACCACCTGCCACTCTGAGGGAGACAGATGAGGCTCTCAATTGCCACAAAGAGTTTAGAGTCTCAGAAACACACAGCGGTAGTTGTACCCTGCCCTGTAGGGTCACTAAGACTTGGGATGGACCCAATGGCAGTGAGTTTTTTTGTTTTAATCCAGATAGTAATTTTCAGAATCCCCTCCAATGTTCTGAAAGCTCACAGTGAAATGCCTTTTCCACTTCCTGTGTAAGGGGCTCTGCAGGCCTTCTCAATCATGGGGCCTGAGTCTCTAGCTGCCTCTCTGCTCAGTCTCTCCACTCTCTGTGGCCAGAAGCTGGTGCTCCAGGGCGAATCCCTGCTCTTTTCTTCCGCACTCCCAAGTCTGTGTCTTTTGGTTCTGCTGTCCAAGGTTTTTCACTTCACATTCTGCCCCTTGACGGAACATTTCAATTCTGCTCACTTGTTTCATTTCTGAGGCCCTCAGTATTTCCTCTGAATGTTTCTTTCAGGAAAAAATGTCATCTTTCTTGTTTCGGGCAC